TCATTATCAATTCATTTACTGCACACTTAGGAGTGTCCAGTATATTCCAAGACAGGACTGCATGTTGAAGACATGGGAATTATCAGTACCTTGACTGCATATGGTTTTTCTCTCTACTAAAATCAGTACCTTTTTACCCAAAACAGTCCATTGACATCTTTTTCAGTTGTAGCCAGAAAAAGAAGACTGGTTTTTTTTTTTTACGAGCCATATTTAGTTGCTTAAATTTCAAACTTAAGTTTTTGAAAGATGAATCCATTTGAGCAAACAAACAAACAAAAAACAGACAAGCAAAAAAACCATAGCTCTATCTATGTTTTAGCCTTTCCCACCGTCCTTAATAATATGTCTTGAGAACAAGGTCAAAGAGATGGAATTTTCTTTTAGTTTTGAATCTCCAGTGATGGAGATGCTTGTGGTCATTTTATAACATCTACAATATCCCAAATAATAAATGTATACTGATTTTTGTAAATAACTATTTTTGTAAAAAAAAAAGTTATTTTTTTAAATAACTTTCAGAGGATGGCAGTAAACCTTCTGAGGATGGTAAGTGAAGAATCTTCCTTTCAAGAGAATATGTCAAGCTAATTTTCTCCCTAATTATTTTGAAACGTTTTTAATGACAAAAGTCATGAAAGGGTTATCGTATTTCAAAAACTCTCCTTGCTCTGTCGATAGGACTTAAAAAGTGTTTTCAACTAAGAAGTTCCCTGGATTCATGAGTTTTCACCTGTGTCTTGTATTTAAGGGAAAGAAAGGTATCTGGATTCATCTTCATAATCAGTTTCATACTCAGGAGAGAACTCTATCTCGAGGCTGCTCTGCTCAGCTGTTGTTCATTTCACATGATCTGAAAGAATTTTAAATGAAGATTCACAGAGGAGTCACCATAAACGTGCACATTTTTTCCCTCAGAGAAGATACCCACCGAGTCCCGCGCTTGTTTCGTATGAAGAGGCCATGAGTGAGGTTGGAAGGCCCCCTTCCCTGTCCTCAGACGTGAGACGGTGGGTCCCGAATGTCATTCCTTATCCGTACGTGTTTAAAAAGACCCGTCCGGACTCCCTCAAGCATCCCCCGTCACAGAGGATCTCATCTGTCACGATTACTGAGTGAAAACAGCTTGAGAAATCGTTTTCATGTCATCGTTCGCGTAAAGTAACACCAGAGAATTTGCAGTGCAAGTTTAAGGGCGAGCAGAACCACGCGTGTGACTCTGAGAGGCGGGAAAGTCTCCTGTCCATCAGGGCGGCTAGAAGCACTTTCCCCAGAGGGTCGGCAGAAATGCGAACTAATCATTACTTCATAAGACATCCTGTTGTGTCTGTGAGGAAGAAACAGCAGCGCTGGGACAAAATATAGCTTCTGGCCTCCCTGAGGGTGGAAGGCCACACAGGAGCCTGCTCGTGGCCCTCCTTGGGGCTCCCTGTCACTCACATTTCCTGTTTCTCACTTCAGACCTTTAAGTAAGTTTCCCGTGAAATGGAAACCCTGACTGCTTCTTTCTGGTATGTTCTTACTACATGGTAAATGGTTAATTTCTTATAAACGAGGAAGCTTTTCCCAAAGAAACTCAAACTAGACTGCTGGAGAAAGCGTAAAAACACATGTGTGGGAGAGACATTGGTATTTAAGGCAGAGTTGCATTTGATACTTGTGAATACTTCACACTTTTATAGATGAGTCCGAGAACTACGACACGTGGACCTGTGTGGCACAGTTTTTAAAAGCTGGTGTAGACCAGTTTAGTTTTACATTGAAAAATCAGGTCTCTGGTCATGCCACCCTGAACAAGCCCGATCCCGTCCGATCTCAGAAGCTAAGCAGGGTCGGGCCTGGTTAGTACTTGGATGGGAGACCACCTAGGAAGACCAGGTGCTGTAGGCGTAAAAAAATTAAAAAAAAAAAAAAGGGATTGTAAGCTGACAAGGTCCTTGCAATCTGTGATCTGTGAGGTCAACCAAGGGTTGCCTTGCCTAAAAAAGAAAAAAAAAATCACCTCCTAAATCCTTGAGAATTCTCAAAATTCCACATTTATCATAAATTACATATAACGCCAATTATAATTTCGGAAGATTCGATATTTAAATTGTAACAATAGTAACACAGAACCTAACTCACAGGCAGGCCAGTGTGCTAAGCAGCACACGTGTAACTCCACCACGACCTCATGAGGAGGACTGTCCCCACTGGGCGCGTGAGCAAACCGAGGCCGAAGGATGACGGAGTCATCTGCCCAACGTCGACATTTATACAGGAATGGAAGCAGGATTCCTGTCAGCTCCCTTTGACTCCAAAACTCCTGATTGTCCTGAGCTGCTGCTGCTGAATCAGACAAATACTATTAATTGGACAAGCATTCACCTTAGTTGATATGGACCATGCGGGTGAGAATGGCTGTCACACAATGGAGCCCGTGTGTTTATTTTGACCCGCACTTTATGGTACCGGATCCAAACGCGTCTCTTTAGCGAGGACAGGAGCAGAGAATCTAAATGCGGGCTGTTGGCTTGTCCTCTCATTATCTGGACTATTCTGTACTCCAATGTCACTGTGTTTCCACAGCCACTAAATGCAACGGCCACATTTATCTCTTTCACTTAAATAATGTCCATATATTTTTGGAGTAATCAGAAAACAAAGCTGCATGAAGGAAGAAAACCCGAAGAATGTATGGTGATGGAAGATCGTATTGCGACATTATGCTTTGCAATAAGATATAATTTCCTATTTCCCTTGGCTCGAGGCTCTGATGTAAGGTGATATTTTACAAAGTATCCCCAATGTCCTTTCTCATGGTGACTCAAACACACCTTCGGGTAGAGACGTGCCACTTGGGCAGCAAGCTAGGGCTATATTCATCCAGAAGCCATCAGAATGGTGGGGAAGGGGTGACTCTGAACCCTCAGGCTGGCTTTGTTTGGCTTCCTCTTGGATGATAGGATGCTAGGTATCAGGTTGAGCCGCCTGCCTCCCTCGGCTCCCAGAATGGTCTGCAGTTCGATTAGCCTCATACTCATCACAGTCTAGACTAGGACTTCCTCTAAGGCAGGAACCATGTTTTTATATTTCCAGGGACTCTGCTGTGCCTGCCACATTTTTTTACTTGATGAATGAAGGACTAAATGACTACGTGACGTTAGAGCTAATGGAAAATGCAACGGCTTCTAGTTCTCGAGAGCGCGCTGTTTTATCAAAATGTTGCAAAAGACTATTTCAGCTCACAGGTTGGGAACCCACAGGCAAGACTTTCCAACGAAGCCTCAATAAAAGGATTGGAAAGTAAGAAGTTTTCCAAGAAAGATTTCTCTGTGCAAATAACATTGAAAATGTCGCTTGAATAGGAGTCTTGTGTTTTCCCCATTACCAAATTCTTGGCCCTAAATCTGTAGCCCTTGCTCTAAAATTAGAGCCCCACACAGGAGCCGTGCTGGGGCGTGTGCCAAATTAGGTAAACCGCAGTGCCTAAATGTAAATATAAAAGTCTGAACTTAAATATCCAAGTTTATTGGCGCGACTTGTCACACTCAAGCCACTCAAGGCTTCATTACACACACACACACACACACACACACACACACACACACACACACACACACACGCATGCACACCCAGGGAAGGACATAAACACCTCTCCTGGGCTGGAACAGATAGAGATGGAGCTGAGAAGTGGCAGAATGAGAGGGGTTCAGCCAGTTGCTGTGCAGGGTTCTGCTCGCTGATTCTTGGGCCTTGTCCCTGGGGATGGCAATAAAATAAACAGGGGAGTGTTTGGGGCTCCCAAAGTGGAGTCCCTCAGGCTTAGTCCCCCAGAGACTTTGGGCTTCTTTGAAAAGCCCCCATCCAGTGGAGCAGTGAAGAGAAAAGAGAAAAAAAAATAATCCAGTGCTAGCCTGAGCGTCAGAGGACAGCTCTCAGGTTCTGTGTACCCCCAAGTGCAATGGAAGGGGGACTTCTGAAGCCTGTCTGTTCCCCAAAGCAAGGCACAGAGCTAGGCTGGAAATGGCCCAGCAGGCCGGAAGAAGCCTCTGGGTTGAGATAAGGTGGACACCGCCCATGGAGCCCTGTTGATGGGATTCCAAGGCGTGACCCATGACGGCAGCATTGGTTGTAAAGACCAAGGTCCATGCTCAAGTCCAGGCAAGATGGACCCAGGGCGAACCGAGGCAAGCACGCCCATCAAATGCCTCTCACGCTGAGGCTGGTTTTGCCCTGCTTCTCGAGAATACCTTGCCGTGCCCACCTGCAGCATCCTCCTGGGACTTATATCCAGAAAGAAGTAGAAAAGGAACTGGGAACTGGGGAGAATCCTGAATCAACAAAATAAGTGTCCAAAGAGACCAGAGTTTTAAAGTGGAAGGGACGGAATTTGATGGTGAGAGATTGGATGGGTTGCATTGCGTCTCCTCGAAAGCTACGTCGAAGTCCTAACTCCTGTACCTGTGAACGTGACCTTATTATATTTGTAGAGAGGACCTCTGCAGATGAAACCGAGTTCAGGTGAGGCCATTAGGGAGGGCTCTCATCCAGTGTGATCGATGTCTTCATGAGAAGAGAAGGGACACAGAGACAGAGACCTCCAGGGAGAACGCCATGTGATGACAGAGGCAGAGATTGGAGTGAGGCCTCTACAAGCCAAGGAACGCCAAGGATTGCAGGCAACCCCTGGAAGCTAAGAGAAAAGCATGACGAAGGTCCTCCCCCTGGGGGCTTGGCAGAGACCATGCCCCTGCTCACGCTTTGGTTTCAGACTTCCGGCCTCCAGAACTATGACGTGGTGAATTTCTGCTGCTGAAAGCCCCCCAGTTTGAGCTCGTTTGTTAGGGCAGCCCTAGAAATGGGGGCTGACGAAGGAGAAAAAAGAAAAGACAGACCTGTCTCCACGTTTTATGTTAAACTCAGGTTTTGAGCCTATATTGTCCTTCAAGGGTGAGGGTGGCCTTTCACGTCATCTTTGGATGTAGGTGACCCTCTGCCCTCTGCTTCTCTCCATGCAGGAGTCCCCACGTTTGTACCTGCACGGGTGTCAGCTGCCTTACACACGTCGGCACAGCACAGGTCAGGACGTTTTTGCTTTTTCTGACTTTTGTTTCATTAAGCTGGCCTAAGTAGGCTTGAGGCAGAATTCAGGCCGACTGAGGAAGTAGCTACCGTTTACAACCATGTGTACTTTGCAGTAAAAACCGCTCGGGCCAAGGTCTCATCAGGAGGGGAATTACAGAAATTACTCAGTGCAATTATAATATTTCTCATATAACCGTGT